TTCAGTGGTGGAATGTACTACACTGTAAGTACAATTTGAGGTACTTGTACTTCACTTGAGTATTTCCACTTTATACTTTTATTTATACGTATAAATATACAAATCTAAATAAATGATGATGTATTATTACTGACTAAATCACCAGCAGTATATTAAGTCATTTAAATGAGCTCCACCTTTAAAATGTGATAAACTGACACATTAATACATCAATAATAATATAATATAATATAAGTTATTCTGCATAGTGACTACTTTTACTTTTGTTACCTTTAATATATCTTGATGCTGATATTTTTGTAGTATTGTTACGACTGTGTGTACACATGTAGTAGTACTAGTTCAGAAACACTGTGCAGTATTGTGCAAATATAAATACATTTACAATGATATGATATGATATGCATAATGAGTACTTTTGTTACTTTGAGTATATTGTTGCAGTATTGTTACCTGTACTTCTTCCTCTGACTGTAGTACTAGTATGTGCAGTATTGTGTAACCACAGCTAGTTAACCAGTAACCAGTCCTTTACCACCACATTAAGAGGAGAACCCCCGAGAAGAAGATCCTATTGTTCGGCCACACGTCGCCACTCACCTGGTGTACTCCTGGAGCCCCTTCACGAACCACACGGCGTTCCTGTAAATCGACATCTTTAACCACAAGCGCGTGAGTTCGTCTCTCCGGTGTTTACGTTTCATAAGAATGACTGGTGGCGGTGACGTAGTGAACTGGGCGGGAACTAACGTCGACCACCACCGGAAGTGGATCCAGCTATAGCGCCTCTGGTGGACGTGGACGTGTATCACCGTCAACACGGATGAAGAGCGAATTCTTTATTACTGTTTTCTTTTCTTTTACATTTTATTTACTCTAGAAAATCAAATTCAAAAGAGACACACGCCTTATGATTGTATTATTTATTTATATATTAAAACTGTTGTTTTTCACGAGATAACAAACAAACAAACAAGCGTGTCTCCATCAGCAGAAACACGTATTCTGTCTCAAATTGAGAACGACACGTGAGTGATATCAATCACAAAAATACTAATAAATAAATAAACTTGAGGAGGAATTATTCAGTCGTAAGAAATAAAGGAGCTCAAACGATAGTTTCGTGTATTCTTTGGTTTTCAAATGTAATAAATGAGGGTTTAGAGTTATTAAATCTGGATTTTGCACAATGTTTTTATTTTTGTTAAAAAAGTCAATGCTATTAATGACTAAGACTGTTTCTGGGAGTACATCACATAATGAGCGATTTACATTTAATCTATATATTTAATCTATATATTAATCATGATATCTGAAAACCCGAAAAGCATTAATAACGAACATATCATTATCCAGAATCGACAGCGATGCTCAACGAGTTCATTCGTCACTACTTATGTGAGTAGTTGAGCCGCACACATCAGTTGTCAGGATGGCCGAGTGGTCTAAGGCGCCAGACTCAAGGTAACTCCTTCCTGTGAAACTGGGACTTCTGGTCTCCGAATGGAGGCGTGGGTTCAAATCCCACTTCTGACAAGATTTTTTTGTCTTCTTTATTTAAAATGTTTGTCATGATTGTTCCCGTAAACATGTTCTTCTGACTCGTCTCATCTTTTTTGTCTATTTCCAACATGACATCATCATAATTGTTATGAGCACATTGATGTTTAACTGGCGGATAAAAAGTAAGACAACCGATATTAAATGATGTTAATATACAGTGCGTTCATTGTGAACACGATAAATACATTTAAGTCATAGTAGTGTTTCATCTGGTTAAAGCGGTTCATCGTGTATCATTGAAGTCTATTTGTTAAACGATGAGTCTAACTCTCTCCAGCTCATGAAGCGATATGAACGTATCTGTTATAAAACCAAACAATAGTCATAAATACTTCTTACTAGCAGTTAAATATTCTACCAGACTTTAATCCGACGTCATTGTCAGGATGGCCGAGCGGTCTAAGGCGCCAGACTCAAGGTGACGAACCTTCCACAGAGTTGGGACTTCTGGTCTCCGAATGGAGGCGTGGGTTCGAATCCCACTTCTGACAATAGTTTTGCGGTTCATTCAAAACAGTTTTTTTTCACATTAGTTTGAGTGGAATAAGCAGGACTGACAATAGACAGAGTACAGGACTCAACATGAGCAGATACAGTGAATGCATTCTGAAAACACAGAAGTAAATACATATCTTGTTTGTCTTGTGTTACAAATGGGCCAAAACTGAATTTAACTGAACTGAAGAAAAGAAGAAGTTTAACTCACAAACAGCAGTCAACAGAAAGACACATCGGTCTGCAGGGCCCCGATCCACCTCAACAGAACCGAGCCATTAATGGTACTAATCACACCTGTGGTGACCCGGAGTCCATGTTCAGAACTCGTCAATGTGGATCATTGACGAGTTCTGATAAAGAATCAACCAGAAAGAAAAGACTCAACAAACTGTTATTTTACATGTTTTCATCATCAGAGGCTGAAACAATGAATGATTCATTTTCTACTGAAACAAGTCCTCTTCTCTCACTTTCACTTTGTTTAGTAACAAGTTGAAGTGTTGAAGACATTTAAAGGATCATATTCTCTCTTTCAACATTTTAAACTCTCTGATCTGATCAAATGTGTTCAGATGTGACTGAACTTTTTAAAGATGGAGACTAATGGATGATGTATAAATACTGTCATTTAAACGAAGTGGTACTTCTTCTATCTCTCTCAAACATTTATGAAATGATTATTATTATTTGAATTCATTTCCTGCATCTTCCTCACATCAATTTAAGTGTTTCAGCTGTTATGAGTAAATCAGTAAAGAATTATTGATCAATAACCTTTTATTTTATTTTTTATTTCAGAAGAGTTATGATTATTGGATGATGGAGCCTTATAAATAAAATATAATCAATGCTTGTTGTCTAAAATAATCATAATAACCTGTTTGTGTTTGCCTTTCTTTTAACAGAAGTATTTTGGTTGTATGTATATTAGTGCTGGGCAAGCTAACCTGTTATTATCGCGTTAACGCATTCATTAATTAACGCCGACAATTATTTTATCGCACGTTAACGCAGTTTTTTAAATTATTATTATTATTCTTTTGAAAGTCCGTTGCTCTCTGGCTCTGAATACACAGACAGACCGCGGGTCACAGGAGGGGCGGGATGTTGATCAGGATGGGCGTCATCAGCGTCTCAACCAATGATTTTAAATCTTTTAGTGGCTGGCACTCTGAGATTTTCTGAATGAAAAGTACGTTACAAATAAAATGCATTATTATTTAATATTAGTTTTCGTAGATAACACTTGAAGGGTTGAGGACTCCCAGTCATAAACAGATAAAAGACTGATGTGTTAGTGTGACAAGGCTCAGATGAGATAAGAGGAGGGGCTGAATGGAGGTGTCAATGGGCAGTTAGAACCTGTTGACCAGATGTTTCAGTGTGAACTCATCCTGCCCCCCCACCCTGTGCTCAGGTCCTTTATCAGCTGTAGAGACGGGACTCTCATCTCGTCCTCCTGCAGACTGCAGCTGTGTGACGACAGAGCCTTCTCTGTTACTACAGAGACAAACTTCTTCTCTCAATGTTCTTTATTTCAGTGTTATAGTCACAGTTCTCATCAGTCTCACTCCCTTCACCTGTTCACTCACCTGTCTCTGATCACTAATCAAGCCACTGTATAGACTCCTCCTCTCAAACACTCGTTGCCAGATCGCTCTTTGCTTTTGAATGGCAGACTTTCCAGCGCTTTATCCCGGACTGATTTCCCGTTGTCGACTCTTCCCGCCCCGGATCTACCCGGCCCGCCTGACTCCCGGTAAACTCACCAGCCTTCTGTTCCTGACCTCAGGTCAGTGACCTGGATTCATTCTGCCTGCTGTTTCTGCTGCTCTAACAGAGACTGTGATGTGTCAGTCTGTACCTGTTCACTTTATAATAACAGCCAACTGTTCCTGGGAGCTCGTGTGCTTCAATTAGGTCCATTTACAATCATAGGACTCTGTATTAAATAGTAGTTCCACCACACCGTGCAGATACATCAGTTTGTATGTAATTATATTAACAAGAGGTTGTGAAGATATGATCCAGCTACACACACACACACACACACACACACACACACACAGCAGTGAGTTTCTCTGCCTCCTAGTGGTGCCCCAGCAGACTGCAGTCCAACATTTTCCATCAAAAGAAAGATCTGCAGCCTTTAACCTGCTCACTACAGTCCAGTTCAATTGTATATTGCTTCAGTGGGCAACTGGGAGTATTTATACACAATACACTATGAGTGTATATAACCTATCATACAAATTTTTTCCCATTAATTATAGAAATAATCCCAACACTAGACATATTTCTGTGATACTGTAACTGATTTATTTGAGGAGGAAACAAGAAAACATGATATTCTAAGGAGGCGTTCTGGTGTTTGGGACAACACATCTTATCAATGATTTAAGATAGTGAAGGCATATTTATTGCACTATTTAATTCATACTTTGATATAATTTAACATGCACATTTTCATTTGCATGAATTAACACTCCTAAAAACGTTTCCATCAAAGTTTTGTGCAAAATATTTGCTCTGACAATTTTCTGATGTTATGAAGAAAAAACAGCTTCATCGTACACGTTTTCCTCACCTCATGCATTTAAAGGGGACACATCCTGTTTGATGCTGGCCCCTCCCACCTCATGTCACACCAATGAGAGCATACAATTTTAATAACCTGGTTTCAGAGCCACAGCTCAACAAAAAAGATTCTATTTTCACACATTAGGCGATAAAATACAGTGTGTAGCTCATACCGTCAGATGTTTTAGCCCATGTCAGAAACATGCAATTATTGATCAGCACATAGTATGATTTATTGCTCTAATTTAAGTATGAGCACTTGTATTTAAGGAGGCCAGGGGATCTATTTTCTTCAAATATATTCAGATGTATTTGAAATGACTGTAAACATACAGATATAATCAGTAAAATCAGAGTTATTATATTCTAGAAGGACCAGAAACCATCTTTTGTATTTTAATAAATCTAAAAACGACTTCTCTGATCTGAGGCAGACTCAGGCCGTAAACTAGAGCGTTACTGATCGGGGGAATGATCACAAACTCCAGAGATAAGACCACGATAACAATCGGATTGACTTCATCGGCCTTGAAACGACTGAGCGTGAGCTCGCAGAGAATTGAGAAAAAATAGTTTACGAAGGTCACGATGTGAGGGAGACAGGTTCGTAATGCTTTTCCTCTGAATTCTGACGAGCTGCTCCTTAAAACCAGCAGAATGTGCAGGTAGGAGTACAGGATGAAGAACAGGGGCACGGCGGTGTTTGATACGGTAAATAAAGTTCCTACTATTCGGTTGACAGTCATGTCCACACAGGAGAGCTGGACCACCGAACAAAAGATCCGGTGCACTTTGTTTCCACACAAAGGTAATCGAACAGTGAGATAAACTAAAACACCGACAGCAAACGCAGGAAAAAGCAAAGCGAACATGAGAAGATACGTCACCATCATGGACGTCATTTTACTGTGATAGCGTAAGGGCTGGCAAATAGCAACAAATCTATCGTAGGCCATGATGCCGAGAATCATGAGCTCACATGCTGCATAACTGTAGATAACATAGATCTGAATGAAACATGATGGACGTGAGATCAGATGAGTGTCAGACAGAATGTCCATCAGAAACCTGGGGAAGAAGCCGGCTGAGCCGTACAGAGAGTTAAAAGACAGACAGCAGATGAAAATATACATGGGCTGATGCAGAGACTTCTCCAGGCAGACTGTCAGAATGATGACAACGTTAGCAGAGATTATAGTCATGTAGAGCAACAGACACAGACTGAAGAACAGATATCTGAGAGGCCCAAAGTCTGCAAACAGAGTGAGCTGAAAGTAGAGAGCATTCAGGCTGCTGTTGCTCTTCATGTCTGCAGCAAAGCAGAGCTGGAAGAAGAGAAGTGAGAGTGATGGAGAGACAGAGAGGGACAGGAAAAACAAATTAAAAGATGATGTAAAGGAGAGTTATTAGGGATTCAAATGGACTGAATAAAATGTTCTATTGAGCACTTATTCCAACAGGACACATAACACAAGCCTGCGTACATTTAAGTTGCATTACCTGCATATTTCAAGCTTGATCATATTCAGCATAACTAACACAGAGTTCAAAAAGACATGTTAAAACACACACAAGGGGGAACATGTCAGTATCTCATGGACTAAATGCACAAGCAAACATTTGTCAACATATATTTCAGTTCAATGAATGAAGAAGAGATGTATCCAGGTTAAAGAGGGGAAGGGAAAAACATTAACATTATTCACAAACAAAGTCACAATTGCAATCACACAGTTTGAAAAGCTTTCACAGTTTA